ATTGGCTGGAGCTGTGGATGGAGTGCGGCGGGAGCGTCTGCCCACCAGCCTCCGCGCTGACATCACCACTGACCCCACAGGACCATGAGGGACCGTTGCTGGCATTTCTTGGCCTTGTACACTGGACTCATCTGGGGGCTTTAAAATCCTGAGACACAGGCCAATTTCTCAAGCGTCTCTGGGGTGGGACTGTAGCTCCCATAGTGATTCTGGTGAATAGGGAAGGGCCCCCATGTGCAGGTGGCTTCTTAAGAGCCATGACTTCCCGTCCGTGGCTCTCAGCAAGAACCCCACCTTGTGACAGCCTGGCCTCATCCTGACCTTGTTCAGAAGAGAGACCCTCTGTTCCCTCTCCTGGGGACTTGCCAAGAGGCCCGGGACACTTCAGATTTCTCATGGTGTGATGCCCAGTGTGTGAGTCCCGAATTCTGGTCTTGGCAAGAAGCCCCAGTGTGGTCACGGCCGTGGGGCCTAGGGCTGCTGCCTCCAAGGGAGATTCACTCCTATATATGGTCACCCGGGAGTCCCACTGCTGAGCTAACGTGTGACCTAATGTGCTGACAATCTCGCCCAGTCTGGGGCCCAACTTGGGGAGGGCCCTCCCTCTGGAGAGAGCGTCTACTGTGGGGCAGAGGGGCTGGGAGAAGGCAGATCCACAGCATGGAGGCAGGGCAGGGACAAGATGACCCAGATTCGGGACAGCAGAAAGGCAGCTAGAAGACCCCCCCACACACCCACCCACTTGACTTCACACATCTGTGAAAACGTCCAGCTCCCCACTGATGCTCTGTGTCAACAACAAAACCCATGAGCCTCTCTCGCTTTTAAAAGTTCTTTTAATACAGCATGAAAAGGCTATATTGCTATAGGCAAGCTGTATACAGATTTTCCAGGAATAAGGCACACAACGGAATGCCATCCCGAGGGCAGCCCTTCAGAGAGGCCGGGAGCCTTCTCCACACACCCTCCGAGCTGGGCCCACGGGTTCTGTTTGTCTCTTTAGCTGGACACACACATATTAACAGATACAGACACGGACAGGGTCACCACACGGGAGTGGAGGAGGTCCAACGGCGAGGTTGGCAACAGACAGCGATGAGCCCTTCTGCCACCAGCCCCTGGGGGACGGCTCAGCCACCTCCCTGAAGGCCGGAACGCCTCCCAAACTTCAGGGTTAGTTGTTGCACTGGGCTACAATGTAGTGATGTTGGATTAAATATTCATTTAGAGTAGATTCAAGTCTATTAGATGTTGGAGGGCAGGTGTAAGGGCTCCGGCTGACAAATCCAAGTTCAAAGAGCATGGGGCCCAGAGGCGTGGCTCAGACGGCAAAACTCCAAAGAGGGGCGTCCAAAGAAGTCTGCCTCCTGCTTCGTCTTCCCTGCTGGGCCCTGCTGACCCGAGCCCTCCACCAGGCCAAGGAGGCCATCTTCGGCTCTGGCCAATCATGGAGGGGCCGGTTAGTGATAATATGCTGGCTCTGTAATACTGATACGCCCCTCTTCCCCTGGCCCACTCCCTGCCCCCCTACAAAGTTAATAACCATAATAACAAGATAATAATAAGAAGGTGCAAGAGAATGGATTACAATGCTGTGTTTGTTATCCTCAGCTGAAGAGGCTCAAAGGGGTCACTATTCCCTTTTCGGCTATGTTACCTAATAATAGCTTCCCTTAAAAAAAAGCAATACTTTCCAAAATACACATATGTATAAATACAGGACACGAACATATTAATAAGTCTAAGCACTTGGATAATATGCTTGGCTACTTAATACTGATATTTTCATCCAAGGAAAACAACACAGAATAACAACAATATGGCTTAAAGAATTGCAAAGATTTTTTTTCCTCATCAGAATTATGTACCAACTTCATATAATATTCTATGTAGACAATATTTCCTTCTTAATGTAGTTCAGTTGCATACTTTTTACAGATCAAAGCATAGTAAAAAAAAAAAAAATCAAACCAAAAACAAAACGAAACAAAAAACCAACAACAGGAAAAAAGAGAAAAGTTATCACCATAAATATTTTCTTACAGCTCAACCAGAAAGGTTTGCAAAATACTTCCAGAAATCTTCGTTTGATATTCTACTGCCCTCCTGAAATCTCCAAAAGTTTGAAAATGCCTCTCTTTTTGTTTTTTTTTTTAATCTCAAAGATCAAGCAATTATATTTTTTCTTTTTTCTTTTCTTTTTTTTTTTTTTTTTTTTTTTTTTTTTTTTTTTTTTTTAAAAAGGCCCCTCAAATATATACAGACAAAAATCACTGTCGAGATTTTTCGGGAGAAGGTAACAAATTCAGTGTTGTGAGAAAAATTGGTAACCAGAAAAAATTTTAACATCTATGAATTTTCTTTTCAAAATACACACATAGTATTTTTCTTAAAAAAAAAAAGGAATCGTGTCAAGTATAACTCAAAATAAATACAAATTCACAAGTAGAGCTATCGAATACTTCATACGGGTTAAACACTGTTCTCTCTCAACTAGATCACTAGATCTACTAACTGCCTGCGATTGTCCCTTTTGAACGTACAAACCACACGCTTTCTTGTCTCCTGGGCTCCCAGGCCCTCTGAGCACTTCGTCCTCGCGGTACCCGGCCTCGACAACAGTGGCTTCTGCCGCCCATAGAGAGCTCCCCCGTTCAGCCAGAGCCGTGCAGGAGCAGGGGGTACACAGAGAGGCTGCTTTGGGGCAGGAGGGCCCGGCCCCCACGCCAGCCAGCTCTGCATAGAAGGCAGGGGCAATGACTGCCAGCTGGATGAGCCCACTGGAAAGGTCACTTTGGGGTGATATCCCATTTCCTACTGGCCCGTGGCAGGCCCGTGGACTCCAGCGGTCTGGAGCCTGGGTTCTTTTTAGGGTGTGGGCCTTCCCCACCACTGTGGGACAGTCGGCAGGCTCCGGGCGTCCCAGGGCCAGGGTCCCCCTCTGGGGCCAGGTCCCCGGAAGGGCTGGGTCCCAGTCCTCACAGCAGAGACGAGCTCACTGCCCACCACCGCGGACACTACCTTCAGCAGTGCTCTAGAATGACTGACAGCAACAGCTTCTCCCTGGGGACAGAGAGCCTTGGGCCAGGATGACTCCAGCCCACCTTGACATCATGGAGAAGACAGGAGACAGCTGGGAGGGATCCCTCAGTGGCATTCCCAGTGGAAGGGGAGGGTGTTCACAGTCGGTTCCTGGGCATTCTGCCCCTGTGGGCGGCAGGGAGGCGGCTACAGGGCTCGGGCTGGAACTAACACACTCTTCTTAAGTGCTCAGAGGGCATGGCCCCCTGATATCTACCCTGCAGCCCCCCTGGCTGCAAATACACTCACTCCGTCTCTTCAACGTGCTCCCTGGACCCCTGGTTAACACTTCACTGTAACTCCTCAGTCGTACACAGCATTTTCATTTGAAAACAAAAGGCGATTGGGCACCCGTTGGGTGACCTTGAGCCACGGTAAACACTGAATTTCAGGCCCATTTCATGGTCTGATTTTTTTTTTTTTTTTTTTTTTTTTTCCCACAGAGGCATGATGTTGGGGCAAAATCAAGTGACCCAGTCCTGACAGATGGCTCTCTCCCTCTCCCTGGGAGAAAGGAAGGATGATGGGACAACAAAATTAGGACTTCTCACGGGGGAGAGAAAAGAGAGGGGAGCGTGATCCCTCCCACCAGCCAGGACAGCGTTCTGACCAACGTGACTTGCCCAGAGGCCTCCCTGCTCCCTTGGGAGGTAGGAAATCATTGTCCCCATTTTATAAATGAGAAGTTCTGTAGCTTACATCGGGGTTGCCAAGTGTGACAGGGGATCCTTCTCCCTCATTTTTGCAGGGATGGGGGACCTCAGGCGGGGCGGGGGTGGCAGGGGGTGACGAGAAGACTGGCGCCCCTCAATTCTCACCTAAGTGACTGATGGGTGGCGGTGTGCAGTCTGGGACTTGGACGGCCTCTCCAAATGAGGCTCCATGTGAATCCCAGCACTGAAGCGGGCCTCTGCTCTCTGGAGTCACTCTGTCACTTAACTAGTGGGGAAACTGAGGGCCGGAGATGAGAAGTTCTTCCCAAGGCTACGTAGTGTGTCAGCAGCAGGGCCACAATTTGAACCCAGGTCTCCAGGACACCAGGCCTGCGTCTGTCCTGCCAGAGTGCCTTCCCCACTGGGCCCTTCAGCCTCGATCAGGGGGTGGCCCCTAGTGTTGGGGGGGAGGTGAAGGAAAAGGGTAGGGAATGGGCCTGACAAAATCCAAGCACAAAATCCAATCCCAAGTGGAAAACACGTGTGGTGGGGGGCAGGGGAGGCATTGTCTGATATGCCCCAGGTCACACCGTGGAACGCTGTCCAACATTCAGTGCCTCCCTGTCCCTGACCTCTGGGTCTAGGGTATGCAATGCTAATGATGTCAGAGGCAGTCGGGTTTGGGGCTCATGGTGGGCAGGGGGCAGAGATGCCCACTCCCCAGCAGCTGCTAGAACCGGTGTCAGCTAGCCAGGATTGCTGACACAAACAGGACAGAAAAGTAGGGCTCTCTGAGTGGCTTTGCACTCAGGGCAGACTGGAAGGTTCTGGGTAGAGAAGGAGGCCTGGGTAGTCCTGGGGAGACAGTCCCCTGCAGGCTTTGGGATTCACAGTAAATTTAGTGCACTTGTGGCCAATGCAAGGCTGCTCAGCCCAAAGGGAGTCTCAGAGGAAGGGACCCTGCAGGGGACACCCAGGGCTTTATGGGGTCCTGTGTACTGACCTCCGCTCACCCTTGCCCCTTCTGCACAGACCCCAGGCCCACCTGTAGAGAGTCCCAGAGACCCGGCTTTCTGTGGGGGCAGCTATGTCAGTAACACTGTTTGTCAACACACGCGAGACAAGAACCTAAGACGCCCCCTGCCTAGGCCGGTAAGGCTGCGAGGCCCCGCCCCCACGCACGCCGCCGCAAGGAGAGACACAGGGAGGGGGCGTGGTCTCTGGCTGGCAGGAAGGTGGCTGTGGGCGCAGCGGGCTGGCGGCGGCTCATTGCACTCGGCGGCAGTAGTAGCCCAGCACCTTGCACTTCTCACAGAGGTGCTGGGGGTGCTCCTTGCTCTGGTCGGACACGTCCAGGCCATCGGGCTTCTCCAGGGGTCTCTGCAGAGAGGAAGGAGGGAGTGGAGAGAAAGAAACACAAACAGAAGCAGGGAGAGTGAGACAGACGCAGCGAGGGACAGCACCAGACAGACAGACAGACAGACGGGGAGGGGGTGCCCAGAGAGCGAGCCTGTAGTCACAGAAGTTGTTTGCCTAGGCGCTTGGGCCCTTCCTGCCTCTGGCCTGTTGCAGGTGCGTGTCCTGGGCTGGGGCTGGGCAGTGGGAGGGGCTCCTGTACCCGAGCGACTAGTCTAGACACCACCGTGCGTGCCCTCCCCCAGGACTCTCTGAGCAAGCCCAGGACAGAGGTGGGACAGTGGGGCACAGACATCACCCAGGTGAGGAAACCGAGGCCCAGAGCAAGGAAGACCCAAGCCCAGTCTCCTGATTTCCAACACACCCAGTGCTCCTCGCCAGGCCGCTTGTCACTCCCATGCTTCGGGGTTAGGGTGGATGAGACCTCAGCTCCGTGAAGTTAGCAGCCGGTGCCCCTCATCCCAAGGCCTGGTACTGTCCGTTGAGTGGCCAAATGATCAGAACTTCACTATAGGATTTTAAGGAGCCTCAGTTGCCGCACCTGTAAAGTGGGCCATCGCTGCACCTGGTCTGTGGGGCCGTGGGAGGAATCAGATGTCTGGATGTTTGTACGCTAAGCAGCGTGAGGCACGTACGAGAATACATCTGTGACATAGGGAGCTTCCCGCTCCCTCTCACTCTCCTGTCCTGGTTCTCAAAAGCCAGGAAAGATTTGTTCCCCTGGAAATTTTACGGAGGCTATTAGGCACACCTCTTGAAGCAGATAGTTTCGTGGCTAGCAGGCGAAGCCTCAGCCCAGAGCCCCCTCCTGCAGAACAGTCCCCTGCATGGATCTGGGGGGACTCAAGGGAAGCCAGCTGGGACCCACACGCTGGGGACAGGGAGCAGGAACTGCAGGCTGGTGTGAGGCCAGGGAGCCTCGGTGCCAGTGACCGTGACCAGGGATGGCCCTGGAGGGAAGCTGAGGGTGAGCACTGCCTCCTGGGCAGACCACGAACCTCTCAAAAGTAGTGCACTGGCTTTACCCAATACCTGGCCCGAAGCTGACACTCGCAGCGGTCTGGGAAATGGAAGAGTCACGGGGGTCTAGGAGATGAACACGGGGACTGCGGATGGGCAGGGTTCTGATCCCAGGGTCATAAAACCCACCTCTGCACTTTCAAGCCTAGAGCCACACAGAGAAAGCCTGCAAAAAAGGACGGGAGCCTTGGCCTTGTCTCAAGGGGTTTTGAGATGACTGGCTTTCCTGGCCGGGGGAGAGGAGAAAGAGTTTGGCTTTGTGTCAGATTCGGGCTTGAACTACCTACAAGCTGTGTGACCTTGGGCAAGCCACCGACCCTCTGATCCTCAGTCTCCCCGTCTGCAGAAGGGGACATTGATAACACTTTTCTCATGGGGCTGTTGTTACATCTCAGTGAGTAGAAAGAGCATAGCAGATAAAAACTATTATTGTTGCTTGTTATGATTATTAATGGGAAGGGGATACCACCAGGTAAAGAAAGGGTCACTGAAGCCACGATTCCAAGCTTGAAGGCCTGTGAAGGCCCCATCACCTGCTCTCCTAGGCATCTCATAAATACCAACAGCACCCCATGGGCGAGCTAGGGCCGAGGACCTCCCTGCTGGCCAAGCTCCCTGGCTGAAAGAAGGGCTCCCTGACCTTGAGCTGAACTCTGGGTCCCTATACGTCCACCTGTCATCACAGCCGCACAGGCGCCACACACTCTCCGCTTGGCTCCCACAGGCCTGAGAGAGGTAATACTGGGGTCTCCCCTCGTCCAGATCAACTCAGCCTGGTTTCTAGCTCTCCTCCCCAACTCTTCATGCTGGCCGGGGCCCCTCCTTGAACCAGCCTTCCAGGTGGGGCCAGAGATGCCAGAATAGGCAGGCCTGAGGCCACTCTTGCCCCCCATGGTTTACACCTTGCAGAGCACTGCCACACAAATCATACCATCCAACCTGACAGCCTGGCTGGGAGGGGCACATTACTCTCCCCATATGTTACAGATGAGGAAACTGAGGCCCCAAGACATTAAGGGTCTTGCCCTGGGGCCTGCAGCTTCACCTATCTGCCCAGGGCTGTTGGACAACAACTTTCTCCTCCGGAGCCTCAACGTACCCTTGTGTAACCTGGGCGGGAGGTCAATAACATATACCGTATGCGTGATAGAGAGAGAAGTCGGTGTCTTAAAGCACTGTATAACCATCAAGTCAAGCTCTGCGAGACTTAGCAATTGCTGTGTGACCTCCAGAAGTTCCTTAACCTCTCTGTGCCTCAACGCCCTCTTCTATAAAATGGGGCTAATAAGGGCACCTACTTGTAAGGTGGTTGTGAAGAGTAAATGAGTTAATACATACCAAGTTAGCTGGCACATGAAAACCAAAGTGCTGGCCAGTATTAATATCACATATCATTGTTGCTATTATTAGTATTATGTAGGACTGGGGGCAGGCTGGGAGCGAGGGATCCAGCTGAGTCCCCGTGGAAACGCCCTTGCGATACCCTCACCATCCCTCCTCCTTGGCCGTGACCCTATCAGTGTCCCTTTCCCTTCCCTCCATGGGCCGGGGCTCCGCTGAGTGGAGGAGCGCAGGGTGGGGGCGGGGGGGAGCCGCCAGGATGACTCCCCTCTGTGGAAGGAAAACCTTCAGCTGCTGGGATGGATCACCCCAGGGCCGCCCCCACCCCCCAGCAGGGAGGCAGAGCCCTTCAGTGTTTTCTTCTCCTAGGGGGCAGGGGAGCCGCAGCCGGAGCCTGAGGGGAAACAGATGTGGCAGGAGAGGGAGGAGAGGGAACCGGAGGGTTCTCAGGGGATGGATGCCCCACAGGTCAGAGCTCAGGGGGCAGAAGAAATAAAGCAGCTCCTCTCCACCATGGGGGCCTGGGGTGGGCGGGGGGGCAGCGAGGGCCCCAAGTCTTCCTCTGAGCTCTTCAAAGGCCCCTGATTGCTGGGGAGTCGGGTGGGGACATGCCCCTCCCCACCCAGCCTGCAACCCCTCAGAGACAGAGGAGCCAGGTGAAAAGTTCGTAGAGGCCAGGAGAGGAGATTGGGGATGCTAGGTGCTGGGACACTGGGTCCTAGGCCCCCTTAACATTGCCTGGCTGAGGGGCTTGCTCAAGCCCTGTGGTCTCTCTGGGCCTCAGTTTCCCTACTGCACACAGCAGGGTTCAACCAATAGGGCTGACGGACCGAGAGGGGAAGAGCAAAGCCACATGTTTCCGGAGGATCCTTCTGGGTCGGGTACCAGTGCAGAGACTGAGCCTGAGTATGGGGGTGCCCGTCGGGGGCTGCGCTGAGACTGAGTGTGGCAGGATGCTCCAAAGCACAGCTGGCCTGGGGATGGCGGCTCCTTCCTCGTGGAAGGAGCGAGGAGCCCTGCCCTGCCGGATGCTAGGGCAATATAGGGGCAGGGGCCGAGGAGGCTGGAGCCACTGCGGGGAGGCTGGCACCCTGGCCTCAGGCCTGTGGGCGAGGCCGTGCCTTTCTGCTCAGGTTGCAGAGGGTATGGGCATCATAAAGACCAAGTGAGCCTCCCAGACCCCCAGCACCGACCCAAGTCCTGCCCTGACCCGCACAGCTGAGCCCCCTTGGGGGCTCCCCAGCCCAGCCCGCCACCGTGACGTGGCCTCCGTGCTCCCCTTTCCCTCTGGCCCCAAACTTGATCCCTCTTCATGAAACCCAGCTTCTCTACGGACCTTGAGTCAATCACTTACACCCCTTGCCTCCCTTTCCCCCTCTGTAGAAAGGAAAGACAGCAGTGCTGACCTCGTGGGGTAGCTGAGAGGATGACGGGTATTAAGTACTGTTACAATTTTCCCATCCTTGCCCTCTCCCATCACGGGGACCCACCTGCAGCCTCCTCTCTCCCTCCCGCCCCCAGGAGCACGCTGAACCCTTCGCTCCGGCACACCCAGTGCCTGTGCAGCTGAGCTGAGACACGTACTGACTCCCGCCTGGCCTCAGGCCTGGGCCCCCCAGCACTTCAACAGACCGTCTCCAAGCACAGAGGCAAGTTCAACCCCATTTCCCACCCGGGGACCTTGGGAAGAAGACGGGGCTTCTCAGGGCCCTGCTTCTCCTCCCTGTGAAATATGGATGAACAGAACACCCCATCTGAGGACAGAGTATACACAAGGGGTGTGTAGGGACTCAGCAGATGATGCCCAGAGGATGATTCGGGCCAGAGTTTCCCTAAATGCCAGTTGCTAACCCTGTCCGATTGAATCCCGTCGCTGCAGTTGGAGAAGGGAAGGCCTAGAAGCCCTGAACTTGGTCGTCCTTCAGCACCTGCACAGATCTGGCCCCGGAGGAGCCCTCAGCCAAGTGGGTCCATGAGAGAAGGAATGAACCCCTCTGAACAGCACTGGCCATGCCCCAAGTGCCCCTGGGAGCACGGAGTTCAACCCACAAGGTAGTGTGATCATTGTCACACATGGTGGAAACGGTGTCTTGGACTGGCGTCTCCAACCTCAGGAATTGCCGGGAAATCAGGAACCAGGACGCCTTGTCTCCTTTGAACTGCCTACCCCTGGCCCCATTCCCTGGATGTGCCCCCCAAACACTAGGCCCACCCACCGGGTCACCAGGCCTGTCTTGGCACTGCTGGGCCTGGGTGCCCCCCTCTTTGCCGTTAGGATGTGGGCTAGGCTCTGCCCCTAAGGAGACCCCCGTCTGCTGGACCTTGATGGCCAGCTTTGAGTCTCCTTGCCCACCTGTCATAGTGTGGTTGATGGGAACCACAGAAACCCTTGGGGGAGGGGGTGGGGAGGTCTGCAAACAGAGGCAATGGAGGCCAACATGAGGGTCATAAAATCACAAGATGTTTCAATCAGGAGAATCCTCTCAGATGGCTCCCACGTGTGCTAACAGGATAAAGCCCAAACTCCACACCATGGCCTCCGAGCCAGTCCCAGGCGGCCCACCCCCCCCCCC